CCCCCGGGGCGCTGCGGCAGGCGCTGCGGCGGCGCTTCCTGGCCCTGGAGCAGCTGCGCTGGATGGTGCTGGACGAGGCGGACGTGCTGATGGACGAGTCCTTCGCGGAGCCGCTGGAGGAGATCCTGGCACACGCGCCCTTGGCCGCCGGGGCCCCCGGGCCGGCCGGCCCCGACGAGGTGAGGACCCAGGTGGTGGTGGTGGGAGCCACCTTCCCCACGGGCCTGAGCGAGATGCTGCGGAAGTTCACGGACGTGGGCCAGTTTCTCACCCTCGGCACCCAGAGCCTGCACCGTCTGCCGCCCCACGTCCAGCAGAAGTTTGTCCGCCTCAAAGGCCGGGACAAGCTGCCTGAGCTGCTGCACCTTCTCAAGGAGCACCCAGCATCCGGCGGGGCCGTTCTCATCTTCTGCAACAGTGCCAGCACTGTCAACTGGATGGGCTATATCCTGGATGACCACAAAATCAAGCACCTGAGGTTGCAGGGACAGATGTCAGCAGCTGCCAGAGCTGGCATCTTTGCCTCCTTCCAGAAGGGTGACGTGTCGGTCCTCGTCTGCACTGACCTTGCCTCGCGGGGGCTGGACACCAGCAGCGTGCAGCTAGTGGTGAACTACGACTTCCCAGACACGCTGCAGGACTACCTGCACCGCGTGGGGCGAGTGGGGCGGGTTGGAAGTAAGGCTCCTGGAGCCGTGGTTAGTTTTGTCACCCATCGGTGGGATGTGGACCTGGTGCGGAAAATAGAGACTGCAGCCCGGAAAAGAACAGGTCTCCCCGGCCTGGATGCCTCTATTAATAAGCCTCCACCTAAAGGAGGTTGATTCGTTGCCAGGCAGTAACAAATGGCCTGGTAGAGTCTAAGCTTGAAGTCCTTAAGGCAGAGGGGATGAGCTCCTGTGTGTAAACAGAATTGAGTTTCAGAACCAGGTGATAGGGTTAACCGTGCACTGTTCTGGAAGCTGCAACAGTCTTCTCCACAGGCATCACAACTCACAGTTTTCCAAAAGGAAACCAGTAAGTGAGTAACAAAATGCCTTTGGAGAAGACTGAAGAATCAGCTTATCAGTTGATTCAATTACAGATACATGTAGAAAGACTAAAGGACAAGTTGTATTTTATTTTCTTGTGATGTAGCAGTTCAGAGAATTCTAGCTAAGGTTAGGTGGGAATGAGAAGGCACAATAAAGCTTGAGGCTTTTTCAAGGTCTTAATTTGTCATGTTATGGTTATCTTTCACTGAGGTGATCTTGCTGCTTTGTGTTCTGTTAAATTAAAAGAAAAAGCGCCTTTAACTGTTTTCTGCTCATATTTTTTGCATGCTGTAGTGACACATCCAGTCTCTGAACTAATTGTAAAAACAAGTAAAAAAACCCAACCCACCAAAAAAGTCTTCTGTTAAATGAAAGAAGTGGTGTTGACTCACAAGTTCTAATGACTCCCAGGTAGCAGAGTACAAGGTTTCTCTTGAGTATCATGCCATTGTTGTTTTCTGCTTTAAAGGGAGGCTGAGGTTATTTCATATCTAGCTGCTGGTTTGTATCCATGGTAAATAATCACACAAAAATAGCATTTTAGCTCTGATTTCTATTGCAGTGATTTGTCACAGCCTTTTCTTTCAGCAGTTGTTTTTCCCATGCTGTCCACTTCAGCCTGTGTTAAAACTCAGTGTGTAGAAATAGTAAGGTGTTAAATGAAAAGATCACAGCATAGTATCTTAAATCATTAGCTTCAGAAGAAATAAGGTACTGGAGCTACTCTTAGTATACTGAGAGTAAAAAACTAAACAGAAAACTTGCACAGACCTTATCCTAAAAATTGTACACATGTACTCTGTTCACATTGCACAAAGTTAAGGAGCTCCTAGGGGAAGTTAGAAGCTGTGGTAAAATTACTTAATACAATAGAAAGCTTTCAGCTTCATAGAAATGACAGTGGAAAAGTGATCTATTTGGAGACTGGAAACTTTTATATTTTGGACCCATTCATTGCATGGGCTACTTGCCTCTCGCCCAAAGTTCAGTTAAGTTCATCAGGCAGTTTATATGTCAACAAGCAGAAGTTTACTGTTTATGTATAGTAGTAGAGTAGATCCCTAAACAGAAATCTGGGGACAATCTAGTAGTATAATTTATAAAGATCCTATTTCCATTTGTTAATATGCATTTTGTGTTGTATTGGGACCTCTAAACGCTGAGAAATAGCTTCCTTTAACTGTAGACACACAGATTAATTTAAGTGAGGTAAATTGTATTCAAGAAACTTCAAGTAAGAAATTTTAATATTTGCTTGCCAGCTTTGCGTAAGCAGTTTCAGGCTGACTCCATCTCAAGTGTTATATAACTTGACTCTCATCTTTTTCAAAGCTGTAGCACTTCACTGTATTAGCATAAATAGCAAGTTATTACCTGGTTCATAGAGCAAAGCATCTCTTTCCTGAGGCAGCTGGTGATGATGACTGGGCTTCCAAGTTCAAAATACAAACCTGCCCTTTTAAGTTTCTGAAGAAAGTTGTTGCCTGGCATCTCAGATGTCTGACTTCAAGTATTTGTCTTCTCATGTAGCTGTTCTACAGGACTAAATCAGTTGTTTGGGCTAAAATTTCATAACTGTTGCAGATGTGTACTGTAATACTTTGCTCTATTACCTACAGTTTCCAGCTAAATAATGCAAACAAAGTTAACCACAGTTAAATGATGTCACATAAACAATAACTTCTGACACAAGATTCATACTCAAACTATGTGGCAATGGTCATTCATCATTAAAGCATCTGCTTAAGTTGCGTCAGTAACTAAGTGGCTTTGGTGATAGAGTAGGTTTTTTTCTTGAGTTAAAATATGTAGAAGGAAAATGAGAGGAAGGTTGACTTTGATAAATTATCCAGACTATAAAAGGCAGCGTGGCCATACTTGACATTGAGGTGTAAAATATACGTTAGAAATGAATGATTGGTGTATTATATGTTACAGAAATTGTGTGCGTTCTGATGGCTGTAACAAAAGATGCTCTACAAGGTTATATTTGGATATTTTTGTTATGTTTTTTAGATGTATAATTTGTAGTTTAATTTCTTTAACTCATTTAAAAACTCAGTAATGTAGGCTTTGAATCTGGAATTGTGTTAACAGCTAATCCCATGACAGGTCAGTCTGGATTGCAGCACACAATATTATCAAATTAGACAACACAGTGAAATAATAAAGTTATTTCAGCCATATACTTCTTAATTTTGAAGTAATATGCACTTTATATATTTACAAACAGTAACTTTGAACTCAATACAAATGCTTTAAACTGATTATTGACAAACAGTTTATAAAAAAAAGAAAAACCCAAAAGTCCTTTTAGCATTTATATACTGAAGTGGCCAATGAAAAGCTCTAGGTAGATATACTCAGAGAACACTATAGTTACCATTAAAGCTTTTTGTAAACATTACTTTCAAACAAAACCACAGTTATTTTAAGCATATATTGAGAAATAGCACTTTCCTACTGTTGTTAGCAAAGAGACAGTTACCGGAGCCAGTGATTAACAGCAATAATTACATTCAGGAGCACACAGACATTCAAATCCTGAGATATATAAGCTGATACAGAGCCACCCAATGCAGACATTCACATCACTGACACATGGCATGGCAAAGGTTTTGACCCAGTAGGTAAGTACTGTAGCAAAACCTTCAAGGAGATTAGAGACCCTATCACAGCTAGCGAGCTAAAAATATGTGTAGCCCGCATATGTCAAACTTGTTTAAGAAACAAAGCCAGACTCAAAGACTTCTTAGATGGACTTTTTCCAAACTGCTTTTCAGTGCTCTCTAAATGTCACATCAGTCATTGTCCACACCCTAATGACTGTCTACATACATAATTAAGTGCTCTTTTCTTGTCTGTCTGTATTCTACCTTCTGTGTAACTTATTTCAGACCTTACGGGCATAACTACAACTGCATGTGAGCTCTATCTTACCAGCACTACAAGGACATTCAGATACCTCTGTGGCACATAGCCCAGTGCCTAGCAAGGTACCTTAGGACAAGCTGTGTCAAGTGTCCTCACAGCCAGATGAAAAAATGCCTCCTACCATTCTGGTAACTGGACAAAAGTCCACATTTTTGCAGGCTGCACTGCTCCCTGAAATGCACTTGTATACCTGTTCTCCCCAGACAGCACCTTTTTCCCTCCTCTTCCTTATGAAATGTATTTGTGAGCCCAATTTACACGTTAGTGGTCGAGTGCGTGGTAGAGAAGTTCTCCATGCGTATTCTGACCAGTTTCTCAGTGGGAACCGGCTGCAGGAAGAACTTGCAGGTGAAGACTTGCTGACAGGCATTGCGGAAGTTTTCCGAGAGGAAAGCGTAAATGATGGGGTTGATGCAAGAGTTCCCATAGGCTAAGCAGTGAGAGATGATGCGGAAGGTGAAGGAGATGTTGTTCAGGGGAAACTGCCCAAACTCTGCCCACATGGTGATGATGTGGTGTGGCAGCCAGCAGAGCAGGAACACGGTGACCACGAGGAGAACTGTCTGTGCTGTCTGGAAAAGACAAGGTCACATATTAAATGGTTGCAGTGATCAAGTGGGACTATGCTATGGGTTAGTTTGCCTTCCTCTGTCAGTAGTGAAGGCACCATTAACAGAGCCAACACTGACAACTGCCAGGCAGGCAAATTATGACAATAAGAATGCTAAGAATCAACCCTCCTCCCTGGAAAACAAGGATTACCTGGTTTTGGCTCAAGCAAATAACTCTATAGGTACTGGGGATAGTGCCCATAAAACCTCAACAATGCAGAGGCTGCAACAGTAATGCTAACTATGTTACATGGAAGAGAGGAAATAATACCCCCTAACGTTTGGAGGCTGAGGAACATTAAAGCTATTGAAAATAACTGCAGGGGATAACAGTCTGGCTGCAAGGAAACATGCCACAGAGAGGAGTAACAAAGACTGACCTGAGGAGAATTACTTTTTCACTATCTTCCCTCTTATAGGAGAAACCAAGAAAAACAATGCATGAAGGATTTTTTTTTTTTTAAATATGCGATGCTCTTTGGTTATAAATATTCCTAGCTAGACAATTACCTGAGGGAGGTTCACTGTGCCTGTGGAATCCCAGCCTTTGTGCTGGCTAGGCTAGAGACACGCTCCTGCAGCTCTTGCTCTCCATTTAGGTTGGCCAGCCACCATCTCAAGCTGCCATTTGTAAGTCCCAAAGCTCAACCTGAAGTAAAATTTTCCTGAAAACAGTGTTTTTCGAGGTCACTATCCAAAATGAAGGTTAACATGAGATGAGCTGTTGACTGCAGTCGTGGTAGCCACACAGCTGTGGCTGTGCAAGAGGGACAAGGGCTGAGGAACCTGGCGGGCAGCGTGAGGGTGTGACTGCATGCTGCCAGGGTGGGAAGGGTGCAGGGAGAGCAAACACAGACCAAAGGTGGGTGGTATAAGCTGCTTGAGTGAAATTCAGCAAGCTATTTTTATTTGTGTTTTGTCCCTTTGTTGAGAGGGAAGCGGTAGCCTGGGGAGAGGGGCTCAGGCTGTGAGGAACCGGGGCAGTGCTCTCTCAGCACTGAAGGCAGAGAGCGGGGTGCCTGTGTTTTGGGGCTGCGAGTCCAGGCTGTCTGCTGTCCCTGAAGCGAACATCCTCACCAATGTAGACAATGTGACCTACAAATATCACTGTGAAGTTAATGTTCAGGGGACCTGCAGGATGCATACCAAGAAATATCTCAGTCTTTATTGAAGAGGTGTTTCTTCTCTTGAACAAAAACTCCTTGACCTTGTATAGTTAAGGGTGTGTGTTATAACAAAAGTGCTCCTTTTTTTTTTTTTTTTTTTTTTTTTTTTTCTTTTTCCCCTGGAAGTCTTTGAAGAGGATGAAGAATGACTTTTATTTACTGTATGCTACAAAAATAATATTAAACTGTAAGTTACTTTAACTTCCTTTCTGTAAGTTCCTGAGGCCTGTGGGAGTGAGATCTCACTTTCCAAATTTAGGAAGGCTGAACGTATTGTTTTTGTCTCACTTTGTACTTCTAGCATACTCAGAGAATATCTAGCAAGGCTTGGAGGATTCTAGCTTGGATCCCTTGAGAGCCTTTCCTAATGTTTTTGTAGGGATAATTCCACCTAAATTCAGGAGTTTTCAATTCAGAAGCATTTTTAAAATATATTTAATGCCTCCTTTTTGGAGTCCTGCAGCAGATACACAGCAGGTGGTTTCTTTCCTCTCCCCCCACCTGATTCTCAACAAAATGTGTCTTTTTCAATATATTTAGTGTTTCTC